CAAGATCAGCAATGATTAAAGACGGAAATTTCTCTCTAAAGGAAAGCCTCTTTGGGGAAACTCTAAGCAACAGACTGATTCTTATAACTAAAAGGAATAGCTGGGGGCCGGTGGCTCACGCTTGTAATCCAAGCTACTCAGGAGGCTGAGATCTGAGGATCACGGTTCAAAGCCAGCCCGGGCAGGGAAGTCCATGAGACTCTTATCTCCAATAAACTACTAGAAAAAAAATCAGAAGTGGCACTGTGGCTCAAGCGGTAGAGTGTTCTCCTTGAGCTGAAGAGCATAGGGACAGTGCCCAAGCCCAAAGTTCAAGCCCCATGACCACCACCACCACCACCACCAACAAAAAAAAAAACCTAAAAGGAGCAAGTTATAAATGTGAAGAACCAGGGCAATGGACAGTGAATGCCCTCTGAAGGGGCAATGGTATTTAGGGACATGCGGCCAAGCATGTCCGTGAGAGGAAACTCCCTGAAGCACATCCAAATGACAAAGCCTTGAAGACTAAAGATGCCCCAAAGTTGCCACTATTTCAGCCTCAGTCAACTCCTAATACACTATGAGAAACTTTGAATGTTTCCCAATGTGGCTAAAAGATCAATTCTAATAGATAATAGGCCCCAATTTTCTGCCTTAGCTGACTTCCACAGAAGTCAGTAAATGAAGGTGTGGTAACTGATGTTGAGAAAACCACAAACATCAAAAGGGTCACTGCTTTCTTGACTTAAAAGAATAAAGTCAGGCACCGGTGGCTCATTCCTGTAACCCAAGTTACTCAAGAGGCTGAGATCTGAGGATCACAGTTCAAAGCCAGCACAGGCAGGAAAGTCTGTGAGACTCATCTCCAATAAATCACTAGAAAACCGGAAGTGGCACTTTGGCTCAAGTGGTAGAGCGCTCGCCTTGAGTTGAAGTAGGGACAGTGCCCAAAGCCATCGTTCAAGCTCCACAACTGACAAAAAAAAAAAAGAATATTTTGATGTCTTCTGATCCTGGTCATCTTCTGGTCCTGATCTTGGCAGCCTGTCAGCCAAATTTCTGGTTAACTGAATTTCCCATTTCACTTCCTAAAGACTGGGAAATTTTTTTTTGTTGTTGTTTTTTTGGGGGGCTCCCTTTTTCTAGACAGAGCCAACAGTCCATGCTCAGCAAACACAGTTACAGAAGTCAGACCATGGGCCCTCTGAACTCTTTAAGATTAAAAGGAACCAAAGTCATTTAGGAGGGAAATAAAGGACTAGATGAGGAGCTAGGGAAAAATATAATTTTTAATATATCAAAATGGCCAGACTCAGACATTAAAGCCATGCACTGAAAAAGCAGGTCAATTCTCCCATCATGCCTCTTTTAAATGTTAAATTGCAGTAACAGATATAAGCTACCTAACTCTGCCTTCTCTGAAATGTAGAAGGGGTTGCCTAAATTTGCCTGTTCCTTTGAGATGGTTTTTTAAAAATATCTGAGAACTCTTCTTGAATAAGTAGACACAGAATAAAAAATATGTCTGGCAAAAGGAAATTCTGAAGGCTGTTTTGGGTGGGGCTCACCCACTTTCCTCACAAACAACCATTATCTAGTCTCACTGGATTAAGAGGTGCTGGATGATGTGTATATTTTGACCAGCTAAAAAAGTATAAAGGCTATACCTAGGAACTGCCATTTTGAGTCTTTAACTCCCATTTCCTTCATGAGAAGCAGGAAATACCTATCTTTGCCATTTCTCCCTTTAACTCTGTTATGCTAAAATAAGTCCTTGCTAAACTTTAAAAGGAGCAGACAGGGAAGGCATATGATTGCATTTATACAAAATGTCTGGAGTAGGAAAATCACACATAGCAAAAGATCATTTGGTGCCTGCGAATGGTGTAGAAGGAGTGAAGAATGACTGCGAATGCTATTTGGTAAGAAAAGTCTATATAGATGATTATAACTTTTGGAAGTAAATACCTGTGATGACGGTACAACATTTGAATATGCCAAAAATTCACTTAGTGCACTTTAAAATGCATACACATAAAAAATATCTCAACTAATGGTCTTCATGTTAATTACAATACTGGATGAAAACATGAACTTGAGATGTGTGAATACCAAGAATGTGCATCACTCCCTTCTTCTCTTCCTGTTCCATATTATCACTAGCTGGTTTCATCCCATTGCCACAGCCACAAGTATACTAGCTTAATGTTGATGATTCCTAAATATTTCCAGTTAGAATTGATCCTATTCAGCTCCATATACAACTTTCTTTTTTTTTGGGGGGGGGGGAGTCCGGTCGTGGGGACTGAACTCTGGGCCTGGGCGCTGTCCCTCATCTCTTCAGCTCAAGACTAGCGCTCTACCACTTGAGCCACAGTGTCACTTCCGGCTTTTTTCTTTTTTGCTTATTTGGTGCTGAGGAATCAAACCCAAGGGTCTCAGGCATGCAAGTCAAGCGCTCTACCACTGAGCCACCTTCCCAGCCCTCATATACAACTTTCTTAGATCCTGAAACTAACTTCACCACCGCCCCAAACATAAAAACAAAACATCAAAAAAACAAAATCCCCTCCACCTTTTATTTTTTATTCACCTCATTAATCCGATTCCAGAAGCCAGGATTTTCTTAACCTTGGCCAGTCCACAAGCTCTACTCACTTCTCTAGAATGTCTACTACTTCCTTCACTGGAGTTAAAGGATGACTGGAAAACCATCACCTTTCATGTGAATTTGGCACATCATCTCAATGTACTTCTCTAATTACCCTGACATTTTTCACAGACCCTAATCTCAACCTTCTTAGTTTGCTCTTAGAAGATCTTGTCCCAGTTCCTACTTCTTTTATCAGGTGACCCCTCCCATCTCCATTTTACATTTCAACAAATCTGAAACATTCTTGATTCTTTTAATTCTAGGCACTGACAGGTGCAAACTCCCAGCTTCCTGTCAACTGTTTTCATTTTTCTTGTCCTTAAGGTCTGTGCTAACATGTATGTTACCTCCCAACTTTCTACACTGGCTGTTTTCCCTCAGGCTGTTTTAGCAACAAGAGCTAACTCCATCTTCACACTGACCATTCTGTGATCCAATAGTTTGCTTGTCCATGCCTTCTATTACACTACAGGTTCCTTAAAGGTATATCCTATCTCTGTACACTGCTCTATCCCCAGACCACAAGTTAAGCATGCAGGTTAGTACACATTTCATGCATGAATGAAACATGAAGAAACACCAAAAACCCACCACGTGGATGTGGCTTTGCATTATTGCCCAATAAAAATAAATTTTACATGTCAAACTACAATAATTGCCAGGCACTGGTGGCTCATGCCTGTAATTGTAGCTACTCAGGAGGCTGAGATCCCGAGGATCACAGTTCAAAGCCAGCCCAGGCAGGAAAGACCATGAGACTCTTATCTCCAACTAAGCATCAGAAAACCTGAAGTAGAGCTGTGGCTCAAAGTGGCAGAGGACTAGTCCTGAGCACAAAAGCTCAGGGACAGCACCCAGGCCCTGAGTTCCAGCCCCAAAATCAACAACAACAAAAAAACTGGAAGAAAAAAAAAGCCAATAATAATTTATATGTATTCTGAATAAAAAAGCATTACATTTATATCCATCTATATTTCTCCAGTTATAAAAGTAATTTAATTTTGGGCTGGGAAGGTGTCTCAGTGGCAGAGCGCTTGTCTTGCATGCATGAGGCCCTGGGTTCAATTCCCCAGCACCACATAAGCAAAAAGAAAAAAGCCGGAAGTGGCGCTGTGGCTCAAGTGGTAGAGCGCTAGCCTTGAGCTGAGGAACTGAGGGACAGCGCCCAGGCCCAGAGTTCAGGCCCACGACTGGTCCCAAAAAAAAAAAAAAGTAATTTAATTTTTTTAGTCTTATGCTTAAAGAGCACAGTGAATGTCATATAGACTAATTCTATAAAGTTCCATGCTATAACCCTTATTTGTAAAGCCTTAGAAAATACCTTAAGCATTATCAAGCAAGTTTATCTGTAAATACAGAAGTGACTACTTTTATGTTTCTTTCCTCTGGGAGGATACTGTAAAAAAAAAAACAACAACTAATATTTGGCTTTATATTATACTACAAGACTTAATGCATAATATTTGGCACATTTCTTGGCTTACTTGAGGTAAAGGCACCACTTCAATAAAAGGATCATAGGCAAAAACCTCCAAAGACCAATAACTTCCTATATATTCCCTTAAATTAATGCAGAACACTGACTGAACCTAGTAGGGACGATGGTCTTTTTAAACCAAAATTTCTAAAAGAGAAAGGCTAAGCACACTCACAAATTGTAAACAAGGTTGCCATGTTTTCCTTGTTTGAATTGGAGTCTTCCATTTGCAGTGAAGATGGTACAAAAGAAAGACTGTCTGAAGATACATCTACATGACCTGTTCCCATAGCAACCTCCTGGGTGATGGAGGAGACAGCCACAGGTTCTAGGCTGAGGCCAACTTCATGAAGGGAAACAGATTCTAGGGAAGCAAGGTTGTGTGAGGTAGAGAGTGCCACGCTTACAGAGTTGGTGCTCATAGCCACGGTGTGGATGGAGTCACTGAGGGCACTGTCCGACATCCCGCTGACCCGACTTGCAATGTGGTCTGTCTCCATGACCACAGGGAGCTCCAGTCCATTCCCATGAATAGGTAGCACTCCGCCATGTCCTACAGGGTCTGCTGTCAGGTTGTTGCTCACAGAATCCACGGACAGAGGTTCATGACTTCTGGAGCCATTTGGAATTTGAGAATGCTCGCCTGCAACACCATCGATTGTAAGCTCCTCTGCCATTCCATCTGTAGAGATTGGGCTGGTAACCCGGGAAACATTCTCCATAGTGATTGTTGTGTCCAACGCCACCTCATGGCCATCACTAGGATGAAGACTCTGGGCACCATGTGTGTTCACAGAACGTGAGTCTATTGAAACAATGCCTGGTTCTAATCCAACATTTCCATTGGACTGATAGGGATCTAGCGCTGAAGGGTTATTGGCAATCGATAGTGCTGTGTTACCATCCACATTTATAGAGTTGGGGTGGATGTACTGAGGAGGTGGCCTGTCAGCTAAATAAGAAAGAATACCTAAGAACAAAAAAAGATCAGAAATAGAAATTTCTTACATCGTTAAATATAAAAAATTTCAATTGCTATAAATTACTTCCCTCAAATACAACCAAATTAAAATAATCTACCTAACGTATATATTTTTTTCTGGGGGGGG